AGACGTCCGGAGTCAGGTGGAGAACGAGGGCCCGCAGTGCCTGGAGCTGATGCTGGAGCAGCATCGCCCCCGTGGGTCCCATTAACTGAGCTCTCCCAGCGCCGGTGCTTGGAGGAGCTTCACGTCTGGCCCCTCGCCTTACACTTACTTTGGCTCTGGGTCAGTGGGAGAAGGAACTGGAGGCTGCCGGGACCAGGGGCGGGGAAGGGAGATGGGGTTGAGCCCAGCCCGGGATCCCAGCTCCGGACCCTGTCCCTGATCTTGCCCCACGCGTCCCAACTTCGTGGAAGTCCCAGTCCGCGAGGTCGCGCTGTCACCTCGCCCCCAGCCTCCCGCCCTCCCGCCCTCCCGCCGCAAGCCCAGCTCGGCCCGGCCCTGGGTCCCCGCTGCCCCCGCTCCCCCCGCTGCCCCCGCTCTCCTCGCTCCCCAAGCTGACCTCTCCCCGCGCCGGCCGCAGCTGCAGCTCCAGCTCCGCCTCCCCGCGCGCCCCGACCAGCCAAAGCTGCACGCGGTTGTGCGACCCGGAGAAGAGCCAGGCCCCGGTGGCCACGCGGATGCGGTAGCGGCCCATGGCGCCCCCCAGCAGCCTAGGCGAGGGGATCCCGGTACTGCGCGATTCCCGGACCGCCCAGGGCTGCTGGCGCCTCAGGGCCAGTTCAGACCTTTAAGTGACGGGTCTGCGGCCCCGCCCTCCTCGCAAGTTTTAGGCGCTCCCAAGTCCCCGCCCCAGACTAGCCCAAACCTGCGAGCAGAGCGGTAGAGCCGGCTGCGGGGACTGGCTGTGCCTCCTGGTCGGAGCGTGGCTGCGGGATGATAAAGGGGCCCGAGCCGGGGTGAGGCCAACGGGGTGGGTGCGGCTGGCTTTCCTGGACCTCCCGGGAAGCGGGATCGGGGTGGGCAGGAGCCCCTGGGTTGGAGCGAACATGGATGAGGACACTTCCCGAGGTCTCCAGGTCTTCTAGGGAGCTAGGAGGAAGTAGGGGACGAGTCCATCTTCCAAACGGAGGGGAAGGTCTCCGCTTTTCTGGGCTGGGACCCGGGGAAGGCAGTGGGCCGGCTTCTGGAAGGTCGGCCTGGGAGGCTGTGCTGGGGTCTGGGGATGTCCCGCAGCTAGACCCGGCGCTGCCCATGTGTCTTCTAGTACCTGAGCTCTGCCGGCCTTGAACGCTGTGCTTCCGTCAACGACCAGGGGTTCCCCAGGCTACCTAGAACCTGGAAATGTAGCAGCTCAACACCTGCTCCCCACCCCGTTTCAAATATCTGGGCTTTGGGGTGCCAATGTACACCAAATATCATGGGCCAGACCTTTGAGAGAGGCCTGAGGCAGGGCAGTGAAAATCTTATTTTGTCCAACCTCCATAGCGGGTACGGACAGTGTTAGGGGCCCAGGAACACCAGTCGGGTTGTTCCGGTGCGGATGGAATTTCTTAGGGACCTGGCCTACATGGGCAGTTCCCACGAGCTTTGTCCTTTCCCACGAGCTTTGTCCTTTCCAGGTGAGCGCAGCCCTTTCCGCTCCAGTAGGTTCCAGGTTAATCTTTTATCCCCAAGCTGTTTCCTGGTCCTTCATGGGTCTCAGGTCTCCTGGAAATCCAGGAACAGCAATTGGCCAACTGCTGTTTAGGGCCTTTGTAAACATTGAAGGATGATTCAGAGCTCAGGCTTTGTCTCCCGTCCAGGAATCAGTCAGATGAAGCCTGCTGCACGGGTCTCTGTTTAGATCTTGATCCAAGTGATGATATGCATTTGGCTCTCCGTGGATGTATCTGGTGGCCTGGGCTAGGTACATCTGTGTAAGGTAAATCTGCTTTCTTGAGCCAGTCCTCAAAAATGACTTGGTGCCCTAGTTGTTGGTAGAGGTAAGTGAGTGGGAGTTTCAGCCCCACCTTCCAGCCTCCAGACCTCCCAGAAGTGTCTGCCCCTTACTGGATTCGATTCCCTTTCTTGTCTTCTAGGTCCACTCTGGCCTACATTCTCTGTACTCAGGACTGCAGGTCTGCCATTTGCTGGTCCCCAGTTCTTCCAGTTTTCTGGGGTCACCCTCTTCTGTAATATCCAAATAAAATGGCTCAAATTCCCATCCTGCCTAATAGTAGGATCTGGCCTTTCCACACACATTTTCGTGGGTTACTTTTGCCTAGAAAAGAGTTTGTCTCATACCTACTTCCAAAAGCGCTGTTTCTCTGCTGTTTTGTGACTCCTTTTCTGCCCACTCCAGTGTACTCTACGGCCATGTGCAGAGAAGAGGGAATGAATAATTGAGAGAACAGATTCAAGCTACTGCGCATGCTAAATAAGTGAATATGGCTAAACAGTGAGAACAGTGCGTGGCGCATAGTCCCTCTATGTATTAGCTGCTATGATTTTATTATTTACCAGCGCATGTTAGCATTGCTCCTCTACCGTTCCTCTTCCCATGCTGTTTCTCCATGTCCCTCTCTAGGCCTAGCCTCTCACTAGAGCTCTTACCACTCTAGACCCTTCCCCCTCCCCCTTTTGTTTCCCTTTTAAGCACATGTGCTATGTTGAGAGAATATAATTAGAAGCACAATGTTCTCCCAACCCAGAAAAAACCTCTCCACGAAAGTAGTGAAGAAAGAAAACAGTTTTATTATTGAATAAACATTAAACCAGAATGTGATGCACACCACAGGCAGTTGCTAATAGACTGCAGAGGCAGAAGGAAGTCTCACTCTTATCTAGCTAAGCAGTTACGGCCCATTACATACGTGTTCTCAAGAAAAACTAATCCTTAGGAGGACTTGATAGCACCATTTGTCACATATAGTGCAGTCTAGAGGCATCTGACAATTGTGATGACCATCTATGTTAGCTAATTGGCTTAATCAGAAGAAAAACTTCTCTCTCACTTTTTTTTTTTTTTTTTTTTTTTTAAAGATGGAGTCTCACTCTGTTGCCCAGGCTGGAGTGCAGTGGCGTGATCTCAACTCAGTGCAACCTCCACCTCCCAGGTTCAAGCGATTCTCCGGCCTCAGCTTCCTGAGTAGCTGGGATTACAGGTGTGAGCCACCAAGCCTATCTAGTTTTTGTATTTTTAGTAGAGATGGGGTTTTGCCATGTTGGCCAGGCTACTGACCTCAAACTCCTGACCTCAGGTGATCCACCCGCCTCGGCTTCCCAAAGTGCTGGGATTACAGGCATGAGCCACCATGCCCAGCCAGCTTTTCAGATTTTTATGACAGCAGATAGTTTTGCAGCTTAAGCAAAGTGTCCATCTAAGTTAGTTCTACCCTCCCACAGAAACTGGGAAATGAAGGCTCCATCTTTCTTGGTGTTTACATTTCAAGGAGATGGCTCCCAGGTCTTTGTGAAAGACATTCCTGAGTAGTAGAGCTGGCCAAGGGCTGTGTGGCTTCTGAAAAGATTTATACACATTTTGAAGAGACAGAAAATAACTTACAAGTTTTCTTGCCGGGTGTGGTGGCTCACGCCTGTGATCCCAGCACTTTGGGAGGCTGACATGGGTGGATCACCTGAGGTTGGGAGTTCGAGACCAGCCTGGCCAACATGGAGAAACCCCATCTCTACTAAAAATACAAAATTAGTCGGGCGTGGTGGCGCATGCCTGAAATCCCAGCTACTTGGGAGGCTGAGGCAGGAGAATCACTTGAACCTGGGGGGCGAAGGTTGCGGTGAGCTGAGATTGTGCCATTGCATTCCAGCCCAGGTAACAAGAGCGAAACTCTGTCTCAAAAAATAAATAAATAAATAAATAAAAAATAAAAAAAGTCTTAAAGGCTCCGTAAGGGGGCAATGATGGAAAAAAGTAGAGGAACATGGCCTGAAGCAAGAGAGACAATTCTTCCTTTGTGATAGAAAACAAATCAAAACAAATGGAATTGGCAGCAAATGAACTTGAAAATGACGTGTGGGGAAATATCCCATCTGGTGAGTTGCTTTTTCTCTGTGAAGTGGTTGACAAGGATCTGGCTTCTGAGGGTCAAGGGAGTTGTAGGGGCATTTCAGAGATAGAAGGAGAATGGAGAAAGTCTGAATAGACTCTGAGGGCATAAGTGAGAGAGCTGCATGAGGGGCTGGGAGAGGAGTGCTTGGCATGGCTGAGACACTAGGCGAAAGTTGTTGATCATGAATTTACCTGTTTGTTCAAGGGTGTGATGTCTTTCTTTTTTTCTTTTCTTTTCTTTTCTTTCTTTTTTTTTTTTTTTGAGAGAGTTTTGAGCCCAGGCTGGAATGCAGTGGTATGATCTCGGCTCTCTGCAACCTCTACCTCCCAGGTTCAAGCGATCCTTCTGCCTCAGTCTCCCGAGTAGCTGGGATTACAGACATGTGCCACCATGCCCAGCTAATTTTGTATTTTTAGTAGAGATGGGGTTTCCCCATGTTGGTTAGGCTGGTCTCGAACTCCTGACCTCGGGTGATCTGCCCACCTCAGCCTCCCAAAGTGCTGGGATTACAGGCATGAGCCACCGCGCCCGGTCAAGGGTATGATTCCTCTAGTAGTACTCACTGCTCGATTGCTGACACTGGAAAAATAAAACATTGGACTCATCAGAACATCAAGGGGTGGAACAGGTACCCCGAGGCTTTGCCTGACAGAGGCCGACAGGAGCCCCTTCCTTGTTCTTATCTCCCCAGACATCAGTGGTGGAGCAGGGATGAACACAAGCACCATTCTTATTTGTTATCAATTTGTATTTTAAGCAAACATGATGTCAAAACAGCCATCCTACACATACTGTGTGCTGAATGGCATCTCTGAACGCCTTGCATTCACTTATTCTGGAACGGGCTCTACTCGACATTTCTATTTTTTTTTTTTTTTTTTGAGACAGGGTCTCACTGTGTCACCCAGACTGGAGTGCAGTAGTGCGATCTCGGCTCACCGCAACCTCCGCCTCCCAGGCTCAAGCGATTGTTCTGCCTCAGCCTCCTGAGTAGCTGGGATTACAGGCGTTCACCACCACGCCCAGCTAATTTTTGTATTTTTAGTAGAGTTGGGATTTCACCATGTTGGCCAGGCTGGTCTCGAACTCCAGACCTTAAGTGATCCACCTGCCTCAGCCTCTCAAAGTGCTGGGATTACAGGTGTGAGCCACTGCGCCCAGCCTCTAACATTCCTGTAAAGAGGTTGGAAGGCCCATCCTGGCCCGCCACTTCAAGTCCCCACTGCTAGACTATTCCTCAGGGACCCAGCACCCAACCCTTGGACTCTCCTTTCAGGACCCAGCGGGAAGCCCGGCCAGGGTATTTTGAATTTCTCATTCTATCTGGAAAAAGCTCAGCTAAACGAACGGTTGAGCTTTAGGGTCCAACAGCGGGCATGGGGGACAGCAAAACTTTACCTCTTCTCTGGGATCCCCAGCAACACCCCGTCACTCTTCCATGCTCTGTTTACTCTTCTCTTTGCTCTAAGGTTTACCTTGTAATCCTCCATTGTTCAAATCGCTCTCACTGATTTATAGAGAATTTTCATGTCTTGCCTGCTTTGTTCCACCCTGAGCTGAACCCAATTTGGCAGCTATCATCAACACAGAGCTGGTCCATGTCACAGACTTTTCCTGAAGGTTTAGAAGGGCAGGGACCAGGGTGAAGCCAGCGAGGCACTCTCCTTGAGTGCCATATTTAAGGGGGCACCAAAAACTCAGTGCTTAAAATAAATAACAATTTAATGCAATATTTAAAACACCCAAATGAATGGAAGAAATCCATAATGAACAAACTATTAGAATTTTAAATAAGGACAGGATCAGCTGTAAAGCTTGATATTAGCCATCTATCTTCCTAACATTCTTTTCTTTCTTTCTTTCTTTTTTTTTCAGAGACAGCGTCTCGCCACGTAGCCCAGGCTGGCCTTGAAATCCTAGCCTCAAGCCATCTTCCTGCCTCAGCCTCCCAAGTAGCTGGGATCACAGGGGTGTGACATCACACCTGGCAATATTCTTAACATTGTTTTGTAACCGTTCCAGCCCCCAGAAATTTCTCTCTGGCTGACTTGATCCATAGCGCCTCCATCGCCATCCCTGAGTGCCGTGTTGTGGAAAATCTTACTTTATCTCGGTTCTGTTTAGTATAATCAGGTGAAGTCTGTATTCTTTTATTATGTAAAACAACTTATCTCTCATTGTTTCTCAGTGCTCCTTTCCGAGCTCTCAGTGCTCCTTTCCGAGCACTGCTCTGTCAGCCCTCTTTCCAAAACCAAAATGTCTCTTCAAGGTTTTTCGTAAATAATAATGGGCCATCTACTTCTTAACATAAATAAATGCTTTTCCAAGGTCAAGTTCTCAGGTTTCACTGTCTTCTCCACCAGTGTCTGTAAACTGAAAAATGCAGATGGACTCTCTTAAGATTCATACATTGCCTTCCTATCCTCAAGAACAATTGGCTGCAATCAGGGCTCTGTGTGTGTGTGTGTGTGTGTGTGTGTGTGTGTGTGTGTGTGTGTGAATGGTTTTGATGGAAGCAAGAAAAGTAATGTGTTCAATTGAATCCTAGAAAACCCTAAGTGGTAGATATTATTTATCTGTTTAACAAATGAAGGGATAAACTTCATTTATTCCTTCTTTAGTTTCTTCATTAATGGCCTTGAAATCCTAGGCTCAACTGATCCTCCCACCTTAGCCTCACGAGTTGCTGGGACTACAGGCTCTCACCACCATGCCAGGCTAATTATTATTATTATTTTTATTTTTTGTAGAGACAAAGTCACCCTGTGTTTCTCAGGCTGGTCTTGAACTCCTGGCCTCAAGTGATCCTCCTACCTTGGCCTCCCACAGTGTTGGGATTATAGGTGTGAGCCAGTGTGCCTGGGCATATGTCTTGGTTACTGTCCACCTAGCATACATACACATGCACGTGACATTAGTCTTTGCTCCAGTCATTTGCTGAGAAGGAGTGCTTAAGAGGTACATTTTTTGACATTTGCATATTTGAAACTGTCTCTATTCAACTTAAACTTGACTGGTAATTTGCCTAAGACTAGAATCCTGGATGGGAAATAAACTTCCCTCAAAGTTTTGAATGTATGTTTGTTAGTGAAAGTATAGGCTAAGCTCTGTAACAAACCTCTCCCAAAAACAGTGACTTAAACATCTGATTAATAGTTTCTATATTGGCTGGGCATGGTGGCTCATGCCTGTAATCCCAGCACTCTGGGAGGCTGGGGTGAGTGGATCACGAGGTCAGGAGTTCAAGATCAGCCTGGCCAACATGGTGAAACCCCATCTCTACAAAAAATACAAAAATTAGCCAGGCACGGTGGCGGGCCCCTGTAATCCCAGCTACTCGGGGATGCTGAGGCAGGAGAATCATTTGAATCCAGGAGGCGGAGGTTGCAGTGAGCTGAGATGGTGCCACTGCACTCCAGCCTGGGCGACAGAAAGAGACTCAGTTAAAACAAAACAAAACAAAAACTTCTTATATTGTCATTGTCTCTTCTAATCGCCATCTCTCTTTTTTTTTTTTTTTTTTTTTTACCACTTTCTTGAAGATTTCCACCTCTTCTATTGAATTAAAACATTTTTTTGCTCTTGAACCTTTTCTGTCTTGTTCTTTGTTGCTTTCAGAAAACATCCTGCTTGTGTTTCAATGATGCTAATCTTCTCTAGTATTTCTGGACATAGTAAATATAGTCTAAAAAATCTGTTTCTTCATTATTCCTGTTCTCTCTGAGTCCCTCTTTTTAAATATCTGTTGATCCTTGACTTTTTTTGTTTTTTGTTTTTGAGACTGGCTCTGTCGCCAGGCTGGAGTGCAATGGCACGATCTTGGCTCACTGCACTCTGCCCCCTAAGTTCAAGCAATTCTCCTGCCCCAGCCCCCTAGTAGCTGGGATTACAGGCATGCGCCACCACGCCCAGCTAATTTTGTATTTTTAGTAGAGATGGGGTTTCACCATGTTGGCCAGGCTGGTCTCGAAGTCTCGAACTTCTGACCTCAAATAATCCACCCGCCTCGGCCTCCCAAAGTGCTGGGATTACAGGCATGAGCCACTGCGCCCGGCACCTGGTCCTGGACTTTGTTTAAGAGCGAGGCACCAAAAAAGATAATCAGGACTGTTTGTGGGTTTCTTCAATGTGATGAGCAGAGATCTGGTCAATTGATAATGGATACGGTTCCTCCCATGGTCAGTATTTGTAGGTCTTCTCTATTGGGATGCTTGGTGTCTTCAGAGACCAACCTTCTAATTTCCTGTTTGGGGTGTAGATGCCCAACCGTCAGCATTATTGGCAGTATTTGAAGAGGACTGGGGAGTCACCATTCAGTGTGTTGCTTTTGTTACATTTTCTTTTGTTCCATAGGGCACATTTGCCTGATGTCCCAAGTCCAGCATCCCTCTATCAGATGATAAACTTCCAGTCTTCTGCAGGAGGGGAGGGGGAACTGCCCCACTGAATGGATGATAAAGGAATATGAGGCTCATTTGCTTTTTATATATACTTTCTTTTTTTTTTTGTTTTTTTGGGACGAAGTCTCGCTCTTGTCTCCCAGTCTGGAGTGCAATGGCATGATCTCTGCTCACTGCAACCTCTGACTCCTGGGTTCAAGCAATTCTCCTGCCTCCGCCTCCCGAGTAGCTGGGACTACAGGTGCGTACCACCACGCCCAGTTAATTTTTTGTATTTTAAGTAGAGATGGGGTTTCACCATGTTGGCCAGGCTGATCTCAAACTCCTGACCTCAGGCGATCCACCCGCCTCGGCCTCCCAAAGTGCTGGGATTACAGGCGTGAGCGACTGCGCCTGGACTTTTATAGACTTTCAATCAATTCTACTGTGTTCAGCCTCATGTGTACCCCCACCTTCAGGAGTTACTGGTACAGTAGCCCCCCTTATCTAGTGGGGAGACCTTTCAACTTCCGAGATCCCCAGTGGATACCTGAAACCATAGACATACCAAACCTATAGATACAGTCAGCCCTCTTTATCCATGGGGGCAGAACCCATAGATCCAACCCGCCGTGTATCGAAAATATGAGAAAAAATTTGCATCTGCACTGACCACAATTCAAAATGTTTGAATTTTTCCTGTCATTATTTCCTAAGCAATATAGTATTGCAACTATTTATATAGCATTTACATTCTATTAGGTATTATAAGTAATCTAGAGATGGTTTAAAGTGTGTGGGATGATGTGCGTTAAGTTAAATGCAAATACTGCACCATTTTATATAGCATTTGAGGATTGAGCATCCAAGGATTTTGGCATAAGAGAGGGGAGACTTGTCTTAGACTATGGAAGGTCCTGGAACAATCTCCCCATGGATACTGAGGGATACTATGCTATGTTTTTTCCTATATGGTACATACATCTCTATGATAAGGTTTAATATATAAATTAGGCCTAGTAAGAGATTAAGAACATTAGGAATAAACAAATATAAATGCAAATGAAAAATAAAGAACAAAACGATTTAAAAAATTAGCTGGGCGTGGTGGTGGGTGTCTGTAATCCCAGCTACCTGGGAGCCTGAGGCTGGAGAATCGCTTGAACCTGGGAGGTGGAGGTTGCAGTGAGCTGAGATCGTGCCATTGCATTCCAGCCTGGGCGACAAGAGCGAGACTCCATCTCAAAATAAATAAATAAATAGAAAAATAAAAAAGAAAAATGTGAAAAAAGAGAGGAACAACAATAACTAATACAAAATAGAACAATTATAACAATCTACTATAAAAAAAGTGAGGTGACTGTGGCCTTTCTCAAAATATCTGACTGTGCTGTACTCACCTATTTTTGGGCTGTGGCTGACTGCAGGAAGCAGAAACCAGGGAAAGCAAAACCACAGATAAGGGGGAACGACTGTACTCCCCTTCCTGAGTCTTTCTCAGGGTTTGTGCTTATTGCTGCTTCTGCATACTGCAGGCATTTGACTTTTAACTTTCCCTGGTCTGCGAATTGATGACCCCTTGTTTATCTGCTTTCAGCTACCAAAATGTAGATGCCATTTCTTTTTTCTTTTTTTTTTTGAGACAGAGTTTCGCTCTTGTTGCCCAGGCTGGAGTGCAATGGTGTGATCTCAGCTCACTGCAACCTCTGCCTCCTGGGTTCAAGCCATTCTCCTGCCTCAGCCTCCCGAGTAGCTGGGATTACAGGCATGCACCACCACACCTGGCTAATGTTGTATTTTCAATAGAGACAGGATTTCTCCATGTTGGTCAGGCTGAGCTCAGGTGATCAGCCTCCCAAAGTGCTGAGATTACAGGTGTGAGCCACCACGCCCAGTCAGATGCCATCTCTTATATACTCATGTATCCTTTGCAATTCTTTTTGTATTGGTAGGTTTATGCCTTCCTTTTTAACCCATCAACTGGCATTTTCATGGGAAGGGAGGGGAGTGAAGAAGGGAGCATTGGTTCAGTCCTTCACAATTAATTGCAATACATTATTTCTTTAAATAGTGCCTTCCCCCCATTTTTCTAGTCTCTCCTTTTTGAACTGTTAGAAGCTGATTAGAACTTCTGGACCTATTCTCCATGTTTTTCAATGTTTCTTCCTCACATTACAAAGCCTTATTTCTATGTGTTGCACTTTCAGAGAACTGCTTAGCTGAGTCCTCCAATTTACAAGTTGGCTCTTCAGCTCCATCCATCCTGCCATTGAGTTTTAATTTCAACTGTTCTGATTTTTTACTTTGAAGATCACAAATTGCTTCATTTAGTAACTTCCAGTTCTTGTTTCATGATTGTACTACCCACACTTATCTCTTGGAAGATATTCATTATACTTATTTTAAAGTCATATCCTGATACCTTATTAATTTTATTGGGTGTAAGTTCCTCCAATTTTTTTAGTTTGTTTCTCTCTTATGGTGTTAGGAACTTCGCAACTGTTTGGTGATTCTTTTTTGAAGCACAGCTGTTTACAGTTGATGTTATTTACTAGACTGCTGTTTTGGCTTTCACAGCTCAGTTGGGGAGAGGGTGCTGCCACTGCTGTCAGGGTTGCACCTTGTGTTTATTTTCTTTTTTTAAAAAAATTAAATCATTTGAGTTCTGGGGTACATGTGCAGGATGTGCAGGTTTGTTACATGGATAAATGTGTGCCATGTCAGAATGGTGATTATTTAAAAGTTAAGAACAAATGCTGGTGAGGTTGCGGAGAAATAGGAGTGCTTTTACACTGTTGGTGGGAATGTAAATTAATTAAACCATTGTGGAAGACAGTGTGGTGATTCCTCAAAGGTTTAGAACGGGAAATACCATTGGACCCAGCAATCCCATTACTGGGTATATTCCCAAATATAAAGGATTTATATTCCCAAAGGAATATAAATCACTCTGC